TTACAGCAGCATATAAGCGACTGTTGATGAGATGTAATATGACTGTTGATGAGATATTATTGACGACACCTGCAATGTAAATGAAGAGGATGTAAGCATCACAAATGCACAAATTATAAGAAAATATGACCTAGAAACAAGAGTTCAAGAGAACAGTTCGAGAAAACAAGTTCAAGAAAACAATTCTGCATTTCCTCCCAATTATTTCAACAATCTTTCAGAGTTTAAAAAGGCATCCATACCCTATATTGCAGGATATGTTGCAAAAATGACAGAAAAGAAAACTTACTGTATGCCATGTTGTCAAGCACTTGGCTCATCATCAGCTCACGAACCAGAGTCAAGTTGTTTGCTGCTTAAGGATAGAAGCAGTCTATTTAAACCAACTGAAGGGGTCATAACTGTCTGTGAAGAGACTGAAAAATGTTTCCAACGGATGATGAAGGTTGCTGATGGGAAGCTTCCTCACTGCAAGAGTATTGTCGATGCCATAGCTGTATATGTGTTGGGTGGAATTAATCATTTAATGGTTTTTAAAGAGCTTCACAACCATATGTTTGACACCCCTGTAAATGACAATCACATTATTAGTTTGACTAAAATTATATCTTGGTGTTACTGCAAAATAAGGCTGTATCATTTGGGGAAAGAGCTAGGCTACAGCCAAACTTCATGGAAAAAAATGAGGAAGACATTTAACAAGTTGGTTCTATTCAACCACCAATAAGTCATAGAAAGAGTGATCAAGATCACAAATATTTAAATGCCAGTTCTTTTGGAACCAATAGAATATTAATCGGATATTATAGTGCACCATGGTTTTTAACATAGTGCAACATGCTTTATTGCTGCCGAGCAAGCGAGCCTGAAGCGAGCGAGCGTAGCAGCAACCTAATATATGCAGAGAGGGAGTTTTGAACTAAATTTTATTAAGCGCATTGAATTGTGGTCGTGCACGCTTTCTATGCGCAGAACACAAATTTTAAACTCGCTCGAGTCTTTGAATTTTTATCGAATTTCTAAAGCTTTTTCAAGTCTAATGTTACACAACTTACGCTTACATTTGTTTTGGACTTTGGCTACTATCAGTTCTATATTTTTATCAAGTTTTGGTTTCTTAGTGTGATAAATATGTGTATATAGTCTAAATAAATCTGTGTATATAGTCTAAATAAAGTGGTATAGTAGATGCGCCTAGCATTAAACAGACTTGATATGAAATCTGATCCTTAATTTCCTGTATGTCAATGAGACGCACATGTTTAATATATGTCACCTCTGATTGCCGTTTAACCCCTGGTCTTTTGCTTGCATGACTCTCGACACTTGCATGACACTTGCTATTTCAATGTACATTGCTTCTTCTCAGTTCCATTCACAGCTCAATAGACGCTGCGAGTAATCACTGTGCTTGATATAATTTGTGCTTTTTACTGTAGTTCTATTTGCTTTTAATGCCCGCAGCAATCCCTACCTTGCAGGTACCCTAGTATTATATTTATACAGTTGTATATATACCATGTGGAAGGCGGGGGCTACAATACAAATAGTAGCAGAACGGTTTGAAATTGAACCAACTTGGTGAATATTAATAATATATCAATCTCCTCTGCATATTACAAATCAAATTTCGAAAATTCCATCTCCCCGCAAATTAAAAATATTTTACTCAAATTGGTTGACAACACTCCTTCTACTGACCGCCATGGTGGTCCCTTCAAAATGGCGGTCAAATTCCAAAGTTGGCTTCATTTCCTATAGGTAAGGAAGCTCTATCCAGGTTTTTTATTTCTAGATCAGTGGTCTTATCTGGAGAACATGTCGATGGATTTTATTAAAGTAGCTGCATGAGGAAGTTTTTAGTTCAGTGCTAACTCATCCAGTCAAAATGCATCCTGGTGCAATCTACCTTAATATTTTGTTCTGTTGAACATTTAATTCCATTGAATATTAACTAGTTAACCCATCGCCATTTTCTCCAGATTAATAGACCTGGATGATGTCATTCCCTAAAGTGTTGACAACATATTGTTGTAGAAACCAAGATATTGAATGGGTTAACCCATTAAGTACATCATCAAAACCTCTTCTTAACCCAATGCACTCTGCCTTGTTATTTTACTCATGCTAGTTAATAGGTTAACAGATCTGCCAATTATCTTGCTCTGTCTAAAGCCCGTTCTCCACTAGACAAATTTTTTTGTGCAATAAATATTTGCAATTTCCTCACAGCTGACCAATTCAGGCAAGTGACTGATTAAACAAAGTGGCAAAGTTACAAAACAAAAAATTAAAAATGTTTACTGGTTTTTGAGATGACAAACTGTTATTTTGCTGCTTTTACGAAAGAGAAGACAGTACTTAAGAAACAGAAAGAGGTTCTGGGTAAGAAAAATATATGAGGAATGCAACGGGAAGGGCGAATTTAATATTCTTGTCAGAGAATTAATGCTTGCCGACCACAAATATTTCATATCTTGTCACTGGAGATTACCAGACCACAATTGCGGTGAGTTATCAGGTCAATCTTACGACGGTTGGCAGAATTATCGAGAAAACGTGCAGTGTATTGTGGAATAGTCTCTCAGAACAGGATTATTTACATGTGCCAAATAATGCTGAGGAGTGGAAAAGGATTGCCAAGGGATTTGAACAAAAATCGGATTTTCCGCATGCATTTGGGGCTGTGGATGGTAAACATGTTGTGATGCAAGCACCAGCTCGATCGGGTTCAATTTTTTTCAATTACAAAAAAAATACACAGTATTGTATTGTTTGCAGTTTGTGATGCACGATACAAATTTATATTGGTGGATATAGGAGACACTGGCTGACAGGAGTGTATATTCTAACAGTTATCTTGGAAGAGCAATTCAGGATGGGTTGCTTAATTTTCCTGAACCAGAGCCCTTGCAGTGTGACCTGTAGTAGGACTCTGAACAATTGGTCTTGGTCATTAGTATTCAGATTGCTTTAGTATTCATGTATATAAGTATGTTTTTGGTTCAATACATGTTGTCTTGTACAATAGCTTGCTTGTACTTTAACTGAGAGCATTACATGGTGGCAGCGTGAAAAAAGCTTGAAATAAAATGGAAGGGTTTGTTAAACCTAACCAAGTATTGTTCGAAGGAAACATAGTCGAATACTGGCGAAGATTCAAACAGAAATTCCACCTCCATAATATCAGACGAATTAAGAAATATCTATCAAGAGACAACTTACTGATCCTAGTACATGCTTTCACTAGCAGCAGGCTCGACTACTGTAACAGCTTATTCTACGGTCTCCCTGGAAAGCAAATATCTAAACTACAGCGTGTTAAATGCCGCTGCAAGATTAGTAATGGACGTTCCGAAATATTCTCATATTAACGCCCGTACTGTATGAACTACACTGGCTTCCGGTACATGCAAGAATACAATTCAAGGTGTTATTATTTGCCTTTAAAGCTATACACGATCTAGCACGATCTTATATTAAGGATCTCATTAATGTTAAATCGAAGTCATCCTTCAATTTAATATCTAACAATGGCACTCTACTGGAACCTCCAACAGGCAGGATGTTTACTACCTTGGGTGCCCGATCCTTTCACGCG